ACTTGCATGTTTAATCATTTAGAAAAGAATTAAAAAGTGACTTGTTGCTATTTAATTCTTAAAATATTTTTAATTCTGCATAATATGCATATTCACCCCCCTCTAGGTATTGTTAGGTCGAATTGCGTAACTTTGAATTGGTATCAGAGCCTTAATTCAATTCCTGACCCTTTATAACATCTAGATGAGTCAGTCATTGTTTGTGCCTCCATTTTTCGATAGAAGCAACTATGTCTACTGGAAAGTTCGAATAAGGGCCTTCCTTAAATCTTTGAATAAACGTATTTGGATTAGCGTTCAAAATGGGTGGACTCCACCTCCAACAATTGTTGTTGGTGTAGTCACACTCACAACATATCTTTATGGNTAGCGTTCAAAATGGGCGGACTCCACCTCCAACAATTGTTGTTGGTGTAGGCACACTCACAACATATCTTTATGGACTAAAATTAACCTAGATGAATGCAACTGGAACAGTAGAGTATTACATGCTCTATTCATGGTTGTATCTGCTGATGAGTTTAGGTGATTGTCGATGTGTGAAACTGCTAAAAAAGTTTGGGATATTCTAGAAACCACACACGAAGGAACTAAATCGGTTAAGAATTCTAAATTACAGATGTTAACCACTAGGTTTGAAGAGATTATGATGAATGACAATGAATCATTCGATGAATTCTATGCGAAGTTGAATGACTTAGTAAATTCGAGCTTTAACTTAGGTTAAAGGATCCCCTAGTCCAAAATCGTTAGAAAAGTCCTTAGATCCTTGCCCGAGAGGTTAGACCTAAGGTTATTGCGATAGAAGAAAGTAAGGACTTAGATACTGTTAAGATTGAAGAACTCGTAGGATCACTTCAAACTTATGAACTCAATGTTTCGCAACCTAAAAGGGTTAAATCCGTCACCATGAACACCATTAGAAAAGAGAAGAGCGAGTCTACTGAGGTTGAGTCACTTAGAGACGATGAAATTGCTTATTTTGTTAAAAAATTCTAGAAGGTGATGACGAATAGGAGAATGCCTCAGGAGCAAAATAGTGAGGTCCCTAGTAAATTCTCGATAGGTAGACACGAAAAAAGCACATCTAGGACTCCCGTTAAGAAA